GTCGCTAGCAGAGCCTCTGCTCATCACATTTCCCAAAACGCAATTACTGCCCACTGCCCGCCCTTCCAATTAGAGGCACCTCTCCAGGAGTGAGCACTGGTTTTTGTCAGGTTTGAACTCGAGTCCAGGCTCCTTTTCGTTGAAGTTTCTCTTGCAATCGGGGCCTCCGCGAATGCGTGGTCCGGCCCCACGGCACTACGGTCGACAGCCAATAGGCACAAAAGGGCAAAGGCGAGAGGCCGACTTTGCGATGACGAAGGCGTACGGGAACCCTAGAACGAATCGTTCACAGCTGCGACCCCACGCTCCCACCGCTTCCGGGACCAGACCCGCCCCTCGGGCGAGCGTTCCGTATTTCCGTCTCTATGGTACCAACTTCCGCCATCTCGCGAGACTCCGGCGGCTCAGCAATGGCGAGACCGTGAGTGCCGCTGACAGGAGCCCGGAGAAAGGGCTGGGAAGGGGCTCGGCAGTGGGAGACTCGGCAAGACAGGGCCGCCTGAACCGGAGCGGCGGCTGGGGGCTCGAGGCCCCTACGGGCCGGACAGCCGCCCACGACCAAGCTCCCGCCTCTTCCCCAGATGCCGCGTCACTGCTCCGCCGCCGGCTGCTGCACTCGGGATACGCGCGAGACGCGAAATCGCGGCATCTCCTTCCACAGGTCAGCGCGCGTGCGTGCTGGCTCACGCCGGTTGACGTGCGCATGTGCCTTTTCTGCTGGCGCGAAGCCACACTTGCACATGCGCGTTCTGTTTGGGGCGAAGCTTGAACTTGTGGGTGGGTGGGAGGGGGTGAAGCGGGCGATCTAGGAGGAATTGAGTCCGGACGGGAAAGGAAGGACGCACCTCCACCACCCTTGAACTCTCTGCCCTGCGACTCTTACCTTCTAGATGACGCTGAGCACGTTGTGCCTCTTGTGGAGGCCTCAGATTCCGCGTCTGTGCTCTGGGGGACGGTGCTTCCCTGTTAGGGTTGAAGGGCGGTCTCCTGGCAGCATGTGCAGGGCCAGCTCTTCCCATCCTGGGAACGTAGGCAGCATAGCCTCAGGGCTTCAGGAAGCCTGCGGCTCACAGGTTTGTGGCTCCACAGACTTCCCAAAAAGGACAACCCAAGGCGAGGCTTGTGGCTGGCCAATTGCCAGAGGCTGGACCCCAGCGGCCAGGGCCTATGGGACCCAGCATCCGAGTACATCTACTTCTGCTCCAAACACTTCGAGGAGAACTGCTTTGAGCTGGTGGGAATCAGGTGAGCCTCCTTGCCAGCCAGCATTGGGGTGTCTGCAGGGCCGGATGGGGAGATTCCTGAATCACCTGGCAGGAAAGCAGGCAGACCTGGTTTCGGGGATCGCTGTCTCTTCCCAGCTCTGTACCTCAGTCTCCTCTTCCAGCAGATGAGGACAGTAAGACCCACCCCCTGGGGATGGCTGTGCCAGTGACACAAGAGGAAAACATTAGCTTTTCCAGCAGGAGTTCCTTAGGACCCCAGTCCTCCCACCAGGTCCACAAATGAAATAATTCATTTTGGCTGGTCAACCCAGTTCTGGTGGAGCCTTTCCACACACCTTAACTTGGAGGAGCCCTGCAGGGAAGAGATTGGTGTAACTCTGCCTAACTTGGCATTCTCCAAACTAACTGTTTGCTAGCACTGGAGAGCCTGCTGCCGGGTGCTGGCGGGCATGCTCGCCCTGATCCCCTGCAGGTCAGCTGGGGGTGGCCGTGCTCATTCTCCATCTCATCCAGGTTGCTTTCCCCAACAGTGGGTATCACAGGCTGAAGGAGGGGGCAGTTCCCACGATATTTGAGTCTTTCACCAAGTTGCGCCGGACAACCAAGACCAAGGGGCACAGTTACCCACCTGGTCCCCCCGATGTCAGCCGGCTCCGGCGATGCAGGAAGCGGTATGTGCTATGGGTGGGGGTTGCCCCACTCATCCCAGTTTTGAGGCTTTAGAGCAGCCGTGGGCAAACTACAGCCCGCGGGCCGGATCCGGCCCGTTTGAAGTGAATATAACTATTGAAAAAAAAAAGACCGTACCCTTTTATGTAATGATGTTTACTTTGAATTTATATTAGTTCACACAAACACTCCATCCATGCTTTTGTTCCGGCCCTCCGGTCCAGTTTAAGAATCCATTGTGGCCCTCGAGTCAAAAAGTTTGCCCACCCCTGCTTTAGAGTGTCAACCAGCAGCAGTGATGGACAGGGTCCTGAGCCTATGGAGCGGGCTGATGCTCCTGTTCAGGGGGGCTGGTGAAGTGGGGTCTGGCAAGCCCTTAGCCTGACCTGTCAGTCTCTCTCCCCACAGCTGCTCTGAGGGCCGAGGACCCACAACTCCTTTTTCTCCACCTCCACCTGCTGAGGTCACCTGCTTTCCTGTGGAAGAGGCCTCGGCACCTGCTGCTTTGCCAGCCTCCCCTACTGGGAGACTGGAGCCTGGCCTCAGCAGTCCCTTCTCAGACCTCCTGGGGCCTCTGGGTGCCCAAGCAGATGAAGCAGGCTGCAGCGCCCAGCCCTCACCAGAGCGGGAGCCAGAGCGGCAGCCGTCCCCTCTCGAGCCGCGGCCTGTCTCACCCTCAGCCTACATGCTGCGCCTCCCACCACCCGCTGGAGCCTACATCCAGAATGAGCACAGCTACCAGGTGGGCAGTGCCCTGCTCTGGAAGCGGAGGGCTGAGGCTGCACTCGATGCCCTGGACAAGGCCCAGCGCCAGCTGCAGGCCTGCAAGCGACGGGAGCAGCGACTGCGGCTGCGGCTCACCAAACTACAGCAGGAGAGGGCGCGGGAGAAGCGGGCACAGGCAGATGCCCGCCAGACTCTGAAGGAACATGTGCAGGACTTTGCCATGCAGCTGAGCAGCAGCATGACCTGAGTGAGGGGCCACTGGACCCACTGCTGACGGGGGGCTGCCTGTCAGGGCTCCAGCCTCTTCCTCAGAATTCACCTGGAAAGGGACCTGCTTTGAGCCGCATCCACCAGACCTACCAGATGCCATAATAAAGTGGGTTCTAGGAAGCCCTATATCTGGTTCAGCTGAGGGCTGGGGCCCTTCCTTCAGTGCCAGGCCTGTTCCCCCAGTCAATAGCTGCAGCCCCCAGAAGGCTCAGAGCCTGGAGTCCAAGCTCTGGGCTGCAGATAAGAGAGTCCAGCTCTTACCTACTCCTCCCCATGCAGCTCCATGCCCCACGGGTTCTCTTAGGGTTGGGATAGTGTAAGTAGTGCCTGGGACAGCACTGAAACAGGTGCCAACACAAGCTGGTTCCTTGGAAAAGACTCCTAAAACCCAAGCCAGAAAGTTCCTTTTCAGGACCCAACAGGCTTCCAGCCCGAGTCCTGGCTTGAAGGCCAGCCCCCACTCAGATGGCCTATCTCATCTGAAAACCAGGACAAAAATTGTAACTTCTGACTCCTGGGGCTGCTATGCTTGGCAAGTAGTAAGGCTCAACATTTCTGGTCCCTGGAGGTCTGGAGAAGTGGGGGGAGCACACAGCAGCAGTCCCGTCCTCAATCTGTGTCCCCATTTTAATTCAACTTGACTGGAATCTAGAAGACTCCCCTGCATATGTAATCATAGCAAACAGCTCAGTACATGGGGCGACTTTGCCCGCACAGGTGGTATCTCCCTGCTGGGCCTTGGCCACAACAGCCCCAAGAGCACAGCTGCTGTCCAGTCCTGTGAATGGCCACACCGTGTTCTGAAATTTGCTTTTTATGTGGCTTCATTTATTGACAGCATGTCTAGAAAAGACAGTCAAGTGACCAGTTACAAGGGTCCCAAGTTGTCCACTGCAGAGCAGGATGTGCAGATTGTCCCCCAGGGCCCCCAAGCTCGTTCTCCTTTATGGATGGGCTGCCTTGCCTAAGGGTGCTCACCTGCCACAGCGGCTCCCCATCCGCCTACATCCAGGCTCTTCAGCAGGGCCGAGTGGCAGGTGCTGCCAGAGGAAGTGAGCCCTGAGGCAGGGAAGAAAGATCGTTTCCCCCCACGTGGCTTCCTGGAAGCTGGAGCAGAGGGTCCCTGGGATTGTTCCCAGAAAGGAGGCTGAACGGTGCCCTCCGCATGGGGTGGAATCACAGGGCCTTCTGTGGGGGGATGGGAAAGGATGCATCTCCAGCCCATGCAGGAGCCTGTGGTGCAGCATATGGGGGATGTAGGCACCCCAGGCTTAGGCTCAGGAGGGAGAAGTCAGCCTGGATTCCTGCCACAGCCCCTTCCTCCATGTTGCCTCAGGTGGGGGTGAGAAGTTGCTGACAGAATCAGGCAAGACTGACCAATGCCAAGCAATTGGGCCACATGGCCAATCCACGGCTGTGGGAGGGCCAAAGTCTAAGGCCAGCCAGAGCCCACCGGTGGGGACACCAGCAAGGTGTGTGTAGTAGGTAGCACTGCTATGGCTTCAATGGAGGCATGTCTGTGACAGAATACTTAGGGATACACAGGGACTGGGGGCATCTTTACTGACTTCTTGGCACAGCCCAGAAGGATGGGCACACAGATACGTGGGATCCTGAAGTCCCCCTGGAATCCAGACCCAGAGTGGGTGGCCCTGTGGGCTAGGAACTGGCCCAGGGCCTTTCACACCAAAATTCATCTTGAATCAGATCCATCTGCCCATCACAGGTGCCCAGCATAAGCTCCAGGGACCCCTTATACCAACCTTGGGGAGGGTGAGGGGGGCCTGTGTGACCCCCACATTGGAGAGACCTTCGCAACATGACTGTAGCCATTTCCACAACCATGCTGGGTCCCTGTCAGATGGGGACCCCAAAATCATCTCCCTGATGGGCTCTCCCCACTGCTGGACCCTGGCCAGGAATCCTGCCTCTTCCTATTGTCACTGAGCCCCAGCTTCCCACCCACGCCTCCATCCCAGGAGAGGACGCCACCTGGGGGGCCTGTTTCACCATCCACTTCCTGCAAGACCTGTCATTTGTGAAACAAGGCATTTGGAGCCCCCCATGTCCTCTCAGCTCTCTTCTGAGGTTCTGGGCACCCTGTCTTTTGGCCAGCAGGTCTGACCACTGTCACAGGCCTGAGGATTGCCAACAGTTTTTGCAGGGGGCAGGGCAGGCATCGTCATTCTCCATCTGTGGGCTGGCACCGCCTGGGCCCTCATATGTCGGCACCCAGCTCTGCACACTGCTTGTCGGAGATGTGGGAGGCCAGGGAGTCTATGATGTCGAGCAGTAGCTGTTGGCTCAGTGAGCGCAGCGTAGGCAACTTGGAGACCTGTGGGAGTTGACCAAAAGGCCAGAACAGGATGGAACTGGATTCATGTGAGGGCTGGGTGGGCTCCAAAGATGGGGTGAGTAGTGGCCAGAGGGTGGGTGGCTCTGCTTGGTTATCCCCAGGGCCTACTGCTGCAGAAGATGGCAAGATTCCAGGCACCCTCCCCCCACCTGGCCACGGCTGCTGCCATGGAGAGTGGGTCCTGAAGATGAGGGGTGAGCAGCGCGTGCTGAGCCAGCAGGGCCTGACCTTAGTGAACTGGTGCACGATGATGTGCAGGCAGTGCCGTTTCATGTCCAGCGCCTGCGTCTTGTCAGCCGCCTCCAGGATCTGGAATGGCAGGTTCGTTGAGGTGCTGCCCCACCCCTCACCCACCTGTCCAGGTGCAGGGAGGCCGGCAGGCACCAGGTGTACTACCTGCAGCACATTCTGCACCGTCACGTTCATCTCCAGGTTCTGCTTGCAGTACGCCTGCAGCCGGTTGTTGTAAAAGCCGTAGTAGTAGGGGGCCGCGAACAGGTAGCTGGGGGAGCTGGTTAAGGAGCTGTCACCAAAGGAGCCATCCTCCCGCTCACCACCCTCCTCCCAGGGGACAGAGCACCTGGAGCCCTGGCCTGCCAGAGTCAGAAAAAACCTGAGACTGCACCTGCTCAGGCCCGGGGACCTGCCCCACCAGGAGAGTCTGGCATGGGCTCCAGTCCAGGCAGGTAACTGGCTTGATCTCTACACACACTCTGACCACTCACTCAGGAGTCAAAAACCCATCGAGATTCAGAAAAACACCACAGCATCCTCTACCCAGGGAAACACTCATATGCATCTTTGCAGAACTGGCCACAGTCTCCCAGAGCCCTTAAGGGCATCCTCGCACCCCAGGTTCAGACCCCCACTGAAGTGCCGTGACCAGGAATCACTCTGTCCATCTGCTCGCCTGTCACATAGCAATGACCAACCCCTTACTCCAGTCATGAGATCAAGAACCCACTGTCCCTCCTGGTTACAAACCCCTCCGTGCCGCATGACCAACTAGTTCAGAGAGCAGCAGGCACCAAAAGTCCTTGGGAAATCACCCAGCCAAGACCAGCCAGCCAGGCCGCCCGAGGTGGGTGCTGCGAGCCCCGGCGATGCCCTGGGAGCACCCTCGGGGGTGAGGATGCAGCGAGTCCTCGGGAGGCATGTTGACCTCACCGTAGTAGATGTAGCGTAGCATGGACTCGAAGGCCTGCCTGCTGGGCACCATCTCCCCGATGGAGATGTTCACCTGCCCGTCCTCAGGCATGAAGGACCGGAACATGGCCTCAAAGTAGCTGCAGACGGGGCGGCAGAGGCCTGGCTCTTAGCGGATGCAGCCAGGGCCTGCCTGGGCCCGCCCCGCCTGGGAGCTGCACCCTCACCCACCTGGAGCGGGCAGCCAGGATAGCCTTGTGGGCTGGCCGGGGGTGCCCATCCAGCAGCAGGGTGATGTCACAGAACTCCGCGCCGGCCCCCTCCAGGTATGCCTTCATGTCCTGGATCAGAGATGTGCCTGGAGGGGCATGGAGGGACCCTGAGCAGGCACCTCCTGCCCCTTAGTAGACCCTGCTCCTGACTCGGGCCTCAGGGCACTTCCTCCTGCACATCTGCCCATTTGCCGCCCTGAATGAACCTCCTCCAGGCAAGAGGCCTCATTCTGGCCCTCGAGGCACCATCAGGCCCTGTCCTCAGCTCCACACACAGCCCTCAGGCCCGCCCACCCCCAGAGTCGAATCTCCCAAACTCAGCTCACTGAGCCCTCCTTCGGGCCTGGCACACCCTATGTTGCCCGGGGCAGTGACCAGGGTCAGCACAGGCCCCAGAGAGAGACGGGGATAAAGGAGCCTGTGTCCTCCCTTCCGGGGTAGGGGGGCAGGAGGCAGTGGGAGCATCTGAGGTCTGCAGGCTGTGCTCACCCCTCACTGGGCCCTAGGGGCGAAGCTTGGTGACTAATCACTGTGACGCTGAGCACATCGCCCACTTCAGAGGCTTTCAGACCTGATGTCAGGCAGGGCAGGCACCCTTACCAGAGAGGTGCCCCGTGTCACCTCCAGAAATGGGCTCAGGAGGTTCCCTGCCCGCAGGCACACGCCCACGGTGGAAAGCCCAGTGGGTTGGCCGTTGTTCCTTTAACTGAGCCTGAACTGCCTCCCTCTGCCCCTGCCCCTGTACCAGGGAGACACTCTGGGGTCCTCTGCACCCACCCCTCCGCCCCTGCCTGAGAGCCTGGCAGGTGATCCCATGGCTCCCAGTCTTGACCAAGATGAATGCTACCTGGCCAGCCCCTGGCAGGGAAAGGACGCGGCGTCCTACCAATGTCCACGGGCTGGTCTGAGGGGGCGCGAGACGGTGGCTGCTGCTTCCGCCGGACGATCTCCACAATCAGGGGGGATGAGAGGTGCTCGAACTCCTTCATCATGATCACCTGGTTGAAGTGGGACTCCTTCACCACGAAGTTCAGGCAGTGCTCCTGGGACAGACAGGCCGGACAGACGGGCGGGGTCAGGCCTCGGCCCCAAGGGGGCCCCAGACCGGGCAAGGGGCTGGCAGCAGTGGACGGGGTGGGCTACGAGGCACCTTCAGCTGGCCCAGCTGCAGCTTGGCAGCGCTCTCGCACACGACCAGCACGTTCTGCAGATCCACGGAGGCCTCGATGTACTGCCGGCACAGCTGCTCCAGGCGGCACAGCTGGAAGCTCAGCGCCAGCTTGTACACGTCCATGATGAGCAGCACGTCCTCCACATGGCCTGCGTGGAGAGCTCCCTGAGCCCTTGGGCCCTTGGGCGGGGG